GAAGGTTCACAACCCTATGCCAATGTGGTCACTCGAGGCAGCGAGAGGAATTTCAATCAAACTACAACGAGAACTTCACTTAGTTCAGAGGAAACAAAAATGGAAATCAAGGTGGAAGAGGAGGAAGAGGTTCATATAAAGGAAGAGGTCGTGGGAGAAATCAAGGAAATAGGCCTCAGTGTCAAATTTGCCATGGAATGAATCATACAACAGACAAATGTTGGTATATGTATGAGTCTCAGCCTAATAACCAATGCAATAACCAGGGCCAGCAAGCTCCAAGAAGAAATCCCAGTCTTCACATGGTGCAAGTTCATGGAGGAAATACTTATTCCGACATAGGATCTGAGAGCAGTTGGTTTCCAGACTCAGGGGCTTCAAACCATATGACAAATGAATTAGAGAATTTAAACATTGCAGCTGAGTATAATGGTGCAATTAAGCTTCTGATGGGGAATAGGAATGGAGCTTTTGTATCTCACTATGGTAATTCTCTTATTCAACTGTCTGGTCATTCAAAAATCTTTGTCCTTAAAAATATCTTGCATGTTCTTAAGATAAACGGAAATCTCCTCAGTGTATCCCAGTTTGCAAGGGACAATAAGGTGTATTTTGAGTTTCACCCAAATGCATGTTTTGTTAAGGGCCAGACAACCCAAGAGGTACTGCTCAAGGGAATACTTAGAGAGGGTCTGTAGCAGTTCAACTTGCAATGCATTAAGAACAACAACATCTCTCAACCTATGCCATCTCCATCAAGTGAAGAGAATCTGCAAGTATTTAGCTCTCAGCCCTTTTTTTATTTTTCAAAAATTAGTGAATGTAATAGTCTTGACTTATGGCATCAAATACTCAGGCATGCAAATTATGACAGTGTTAAGAAAGCTTTGAAATCATGTAACTTGGATTATAAGTCCAAGAATGATAATGGTTTGTGTGGATCATGCATCATGGCAAAACTCCACTCTCTTCCTTTTGATCATTCAGAGCACACTTGTTCTTATCCTCTTGAATTAATCCATAGTGATGTTTGGGGACCATGTTATGTTAAAGCTTTGAATGGATGTGCATATTATGTGAGTTTTATGATCATTACTCAAGGTTTACTTGGATATATCTACTGAGGGCCAAGTCTGATGTTCATAGTGCCTTCTTAAATTTTAAAGCCTTGGTGAGAATCAGTTTAATAGAAAAATCAAGGCACTACAAAGTGATGGAGGTGGAGAATACCAATCTCTGTCCAAATACCTCCAATAGAATGGTATTGTACAAAGAATATCATGTGCATATACCGCTCAACAGAATGGTTTGACAGAGAGGAAGCACAGAGATATAGTGAACATGGGGTTATCACTTTTGGCACACTCTCACTTGCCTCTTTGTTACTGGGGAGATGCTTTCATCACAACTGCTTATCTACTAAATAGGATACCCAACAAACTTCTAAACTCAAAGACACCCCTTGAAGTCTTATATGGGCACAAACCAGATTACAAAAGACTAAAAGTCTTTAGATGTTTGTGCTATTCTCATCTCAGACCCCACAACAAGCACAAAATGGATTATAGATCATGTGCTGCAACCTTTCTTGGTTACATCAATCAGTACAAAGGCTACAAGGTGCTCTTGCCTAACAGAAAAATCATAATTACAAGAGATGTGTTATTTGATGAAGCAAATTTTCCTTATCAGAAGAAACAGACTGCTCAAGTTGATCAGGGTGCATTACACAAAGCATGGAATTTCCCTGATATCCCTATAATACATGAGAAAGTTCAATTGAATCAGGAGCAAAACCAAGAAGCTTCATCTCCTGAAACAAGACTGACCCCAAACAGACAATAAGATGGGATCAGTGTAAGTAGAAACACCAGTCCTCAAGGAAGTGGAAGTGCAAGAACTCCAAGAAGCAATGCTAGCTTGCCAGGGATAGCCTTGTAGTGGAGCTGCCCATGATCAGTGATTCTCCTGAATAATCTTTTGAAGAAGTTAGAACAAAGCATCCAATGATCATAAGGGCAAGAGCAGGGATATTCAAACCCAAAGCCTATCACATCCAAGAAGAAGAATCAGAACCAAGGAACTTGAATGATGCCCTTGGCCTGAAACAATGGAGAACAACCATGGAGGAAGAATTAGATGCACTAGAAAGAAACAAAATTCGGACCTTAGTCTCACCCCCTGAAGGAAGAAACATTGTAGGATGCAAGTGGGTCTTCAAAATCAAAAGGAAATCAGATGGAAGCATAGCTAAGTATAAAGCCAGGCTTGTTGCTCAAGGATACTCACAAAAACCGGGTTTTGACTTCACAGAGACCTTTAGTCCAGTGATCAAGCACAACACCATAAGAATAATACTTACATTAGTTGTTCACTATGGCTGGAAAGTGAGACAATTGGATGTAAGTAATGCATTCCTTAATGGAGACCTCTTTGAAGCCATTTACATGAAACAACCACCAGGATATGAAGTGGCAGATAGTGACACCTGGTCTGTAAGTTGTCCAAAGCCTTGTATGGCTTGAAGCAAGCATCTAGAGCATGGTTCAATAAAGTCAAGGAGGCTCTGAAACTAATGGGATTCAGAGTCTCAAAGGCAGATAGCTCAATGTTCTTTCAAAATCAAAGATGAGAGGTTTTTATTTGTCTTGATATATGTTAATGACATCTTAGTGACAAGACGAAGATTGAAGAATTTATAAAATCTCTTGGAAAGATGTTTTCTATCAAAGATCTTGGTGAGATAGAACACTTCCTTGGAGTTAAAATATCCAGAACAAAGGAAGGCTTGCATCTTAATCAAGGTAAGTATATACTGGAGTTACTGAAGAGAGTAAAAATGGAAGGTGCAAAAGGCTTGCCTACTCCTATGGTATCCTCTCTCCACTTATCTAAAGAAGATGGAAATCCAAGAGTTGATGGAACCTTATACAGAAGTGTAGTTGGGGCACTACAGTACATCACATTGACAAGACCTGAAATCAGCTTTGCTGTGAACAAGGTAAGTCAGCATATGTCCTGCCCTTTAGATACGCATTGGAAAGCTGTAAAAAGAATCTTAAGGTACTTGTCAGGAACACTAGACCATGGGTTACACTTTAAGAAGGCAGATCATCTTGACCTTAGGGCCTTCTCAGATTCAGACTGGGGAGCAGACCTTGATGATAGAAGACAGTGACAGGCTACTGTGCGTTTTTTGGAGGAAGTTTGATATTCTGGTGCTCGAAGAAGCAAACTTCAGTCTCAAGGTCTAGTACAGAAGCTGAGTATAGGAGCTTGGCTCATGCAGCCTCAGAGGTAACCTAGATCCATTCCATGCTTAGAGAAATTGGTTTGAACTTAACTAAAACTCCTGTCATTTGGGTAGACAATCAGAGTGCAGTGTTTCTGGCCTCAAACTCCATCATGCATGGTAGAACTAAGCATGTGGAGCTTGATTATCACTTTGTGAGGGAGAAAATTGAAAAGGGTCATCTTCATGTAAGTCATATACCCTCGGTTGAGCAAGTTGGTGACATTTTCACCAAACCTCTTTCTCTGCAATTCTTCTCTCGATTGAAAAACAAACTGAGAGTAACAAGTATGTCCTCGATCGAATTGAGGGGAAGTGTTAGCAGCTTTGGGATTTTACATGATGAATTGAACAAGTCTTCTCGGTCAAAGCAAGAAGAAAAGAAAGTAGCACATGAAGACAAAACTTACATGTCCATGCAAGCTCATGTGGTCCCAAAAGCAACTCCTAGTTTGGAGCATTTACAGCTACTGGATTAGATAGGATTTGGGACACTTGTCCATTTTTGTCTATCATTCATGTATAGTATATAAGTCCCTTTTCCATGGCAAAAAAACCTAAAAAATTTACATAAACAGGTGCCGCTATTTTGATGAGATATGAATATTCAAGCATGAATTTTCTTTGTGTTTTTCATCTCTTTTTCTAATATAGATATTTAATACAAACCAAACTTAATTATTTTTGCATAAAAGTATTAATTTATATTCAATCCTGACTACAAAGCATGAATTTTCCCCACATATAATTTCAAAACATGCAAGTTTGCAACTTAGAACATCCATATTGGTCTTCATTCATTTAACCAATAACAACACTCTCTTTCTTACACATCTTCATTCATTTAACCAATAACAACACTCTCTTTCTTACACATCATCTCCATATCACCATTTTTTTCAAACATAAGTCATTCAAACACAACTTTACATTTGTTTAAACATTCACAACTCTTACGGACGGGTCACAACTCACACCCATTACTTCAGTATATCACAACTTCAACATGTTATTACCCTATATTTCACACTGAGGCCTTATGTGTGTGATTAAATATCATACATAACATTGAATGAACGGTTGGATAGTAGCACTAGTATTGATGATGAATTGGCATATAATGCGAATGCTTTTAGGCTCAACACATTCGAAATTATATTACTTTAAATTTATAAGATTTATAGTCTGGAAGGAAAAGCATGTCATTCACTATGCCTGTCTTGAGAGGACGAACAAAATAATGAATAAAAATAAGGCAAAAATCAATTAAGATTTACGGGCGAGTGATACGGGAAAGAAGCTACGAGAAACTTTGACACCAATTACTCATTAAATTGTCAATATTGCATACCCACGTATGCAAGAATAAATGCGGATTACATGTCATAGAAGCTAGTAGGGCACGGCCAGTTTGTATTATTGAGTGCAGATCAATGAGCATAAAAAATATGATTTTCTGTTATGCAAAAACATCATGCCACCACCACTAGTGTGGTAAACCAATAACGAATTGTATTGTTAAACGAATGGAACAAATTTATTTTAACTCTACTCTTACATTTTTTTAGACTCTTTGAATCACACTGGGCCGATGGAAATTTTGCATGCACTCTTCTGATGACAAGAGTCGAGATACAGATGCCAACTGCGTGTACGCCAATCATCAGAGTCCATTTTCTTCTATCATCGAAATTAAAGAACGCATGAATCACATTCTGAACATGTTGGGTGATACCTGGAAGGAAGTAGGCAAAGACACTAAGAGAGCAGGGTACAGATGCATATGCATAGCGAAAGGTATACCTAAGTGTCAATTAGATGTATAAGATCCTTTATTTATTTATTTTTTCTTTTTGAGATTTTAGGATTTAGCATAGAAATCTTCAAACGGTGACTCAAATGATGACTTACAAAACCCCCCACACACTAATGAGCCAAAACATACCAAAAGGGAAAAAAATGAAAAATGAAAAAAAAAAGACACTACCTTCACATGGTGTGGCATGATTTTAATATCGTAAGGCACGTGCAGCCAAGCTTCAGGTGGATAGAACATGAAGTTCTCGGGTTTGCTGGTGTAGACATCGGCATAGTGGTGGATGTGGTATGCGAATGCAGACTCCTGGCCCGTGTCTGTAAGGAATGTGGCCCCAAAGGACTTGTTGAACATTCCTTTCATTGCGGCACGTGCTTTCTGCCTCTCGTCATTCAGCTCACGAAGAATTGACTTGTACTCGTTGCTCGTGTTGCTGTTGGAAACAGTTGAATGGAGTTTGCCAAGAAGATCTTGTATCACGTGGAACTTTGCCTGCCGGTAATTTTGCGAGGACAGTAAAGAAGGGCGTAAATGAGCTAAAAGTCAACGTTGACTTATTATTTGCAGGTAAAACCACAAAAAAAAAAAAAAATGGTGAACCTCCATGTATGCACACATATATGTTAATGTATATAGTTTAACAATATGCAGAACCCATATGTATCTACACATCCTTTCCAGTTTTTGAAATCTGATTGACCCAATAATGGCAAATGGAAATGCCATAATTCTAAAAGGGTTACCTGTTCACGGCGATAACTATCTTCATTCTGGATTTGTATTTCATTCTGAAACAAACGACAAACAAATTAAATAAATTCACTACCTTACCGCTTAAGAAAGACAATCACAAATTATATATAAGATGCATAAAGTGGAGAAAGTATGGCATAGTCTGGATTAAAGAATTAGCAAAACTTATCGGCTGATTCTTCTAACACAACTTCACACACTCATAATTTGCACTTATGGAACAACTTTAAAAAGCAGATTTCAACATATACTCCGATAGAAAATTTTACTTTTTCAAGTCTAGAATTTTGAATCATTATGCAATAGGAAGCAAACTCCGCCTATGTTGTCTCAACAGAGACAACATAGCAGGTCCCAAGCCGTGGTAAAGGAGGAGGGTTGTGATAGGCTTGGCGAGCCAACGTAAAACCTAGCTATTCTAAACAACAATAACAACAATAGCCTACCCCAACTTGTTTGGGACTAAAAGGCCTTGTTGTTGTTGTTGTATGCAATAGGAAGCAAATTAACTACCACCTAATGGAGATGAAAGAGAAATCATGAAGATCTTTTTTTTATTTTTGTCAGTAATGAAGCTCCATTTTGTCAGGGCACACATTACAATCACTGATGGTAGTTAATAAAAAAGAAAAGGAAATTTGCTTCAGAGTTTCACTTGGTAAAAGAAAAGGAAAATTGCTTCAGATACGCCGTAATAATATATAGTTTAATTAAGCAAATTCAGACCTCCAATTCATGAATGATGGCAGCCGTACGCCACCCAGCTTTTGAAGGCCCCCTAAGATCACTAAAGAGGTGATCCCCAAAGTATATCACCTAAAGTTGTTTATGAAACTGTCATTAACAACGAAACATAAAAATAAACAAGATCACAACTTTGACGGCATAATTTCAGGGCCATCCCATAAATGGTACTGTTGAAATGCACAATTTGCAAAAACAAGCTTTGTAACTATTTAAACACCTCCCTCTTGTCCTGCAATATTAGCAAACTAGTCCTTCAAGAGAAAAAATTCTCAATTTTGGCCTACTTTGACCAGAAACTGGAAACTGCATGTGTAGTTCTAGTTACTGAAATTTGACGAAGTAACAACCATTCAGATTTTTCCATGTCAGAGAACCGCTTTGCAAATTGTGCATTTTAACTTTATCAAACATGAATCGATTATGTAATCAGAAATTTTTTTCACCTCAGTTTTATAGGATTACTTTGTTAAGCGTAAAGGACTGATTTTGCAAATGTACTAACATAAATTCCAATAAGTAGACAGGGATAACATAATATTACGAATATATATATATATATATAAGTAGACATGATTGTACATAATTAAGCAACAATGCAACTGAATTTCAGTAAAGCGAGCCATGCAGAACGTACCTCAGGACCCTTCCACTTAGTTATTTGCAAGAAAGTCTTCAGGCATCCTTGGTAGTAAATATTGTTAGGAAAAAAAGCATCCACCTTATAATAAGCCAAAGTGTCTTTTTCCACATCATAACAGCTGCATGCAAGTTCAAAAGTGATAAAAGGAGGCACATACCCAGAGGTCTGGAATATAAATGGATTGTATGCAACTGATTTAGGTTTAAATTCAAAAAATATATACAAAAATATATTTTCTTTTTAAACCAAAAAAATGATGATAGAAAAATTTCACAAAAATCAAATTATTCCGGACCCCAATCTTAACTTATTCCTAGGATACAACGAACAATATATATTTATGTTTATATGGAATCAGAAATCCTCACGGAAATTAACACTACTACTTTCTGAATTTTAACTATGGAGCTGATAACTGATCAATATCTATCTCTGATAGAATTTTTGCATTAGAAATAAACATGAATTATTCACTTAACCCATGTTCATTGACTTGTACAAATTGTTGACACGACATCATCTACCAAGCATAAAACAAGCACCTCGTTAAATCCATATCTTCAAATGTTAACAATAATAATATTAAACGAAATGATACATAATGAAAATCAACACAAGTGTCATACAGTAAGAGAATATGTAAAAGTGGATAACATAGTACAGAAAAAGGAAGATAACCGGAATGGGTGCTCGGATGTATAGAATTCTGGTTTGTTCGCTTTAGCAATTACGACATCAAATAATTCCCTCCAGCAGTCTTGCTGGCCTAGTGCGTCCTGCTTTTCAAAGGACACAAGGTGCTTCGTTGATGTCTAGTTTCAGTATCTCTTAAATTTTTAACACTCTTACTCAAAAAAGCTAAACTGATATGCATTCGCAAAGCTAATATGATGCTTTAATAATTATATTTCCCATTACAATAACCAGAATTATGAAGTCAACATGGATGATCTGAACACTGAGGTCATAACCATAAGGCATAAGGCACCATGCTCATTAGGTTGTATGCTTCAGAAGGTGAACCCATAATAACTTTCACATCCAATCAGATGAATAGGCTCACCAAATGAAAACTATAATAATGACGGATCCTGTTATAGCATGATGCTGATCATATCACAACAAACGGAAAGTACTAAAAATTCTCATCAACAAACTAAGAAATCTAGACACGACTTAAGTATAAAAGAAATTGTAAAGCATAACTTGAAGGGAAATTAAAGAGACTGTAATCTCGATGCAAGAATAAAAAAGGTAGATATCAACGCACAAGCAGGGGACTGGAAAGTTAATTTCAAACTTTTGACTGCTGAAAGAAGGTTTTTCTTTAAATTTCAGTAATGAGATAAGGACCACATATTCTGGTTCTGGTACTGGAACCAAAAGGTGGATCTCGTACTACTAAGATTGAATCGTAAAAGAAAAAACACGAGAGCGACAGTGAAAGAAAGATAACAAAACAGATACCCTAGTAAATCTAACAATTTTCACTCTAGCAAGTAATAGCAACAATGATGGAAACAGTGCCTGCAGCCAACAACTATCATTCAATGGGTCTCATAATGGAAAGAAAATTGAAAATCTTGAGAGAAAAAAGCGAATCAACAGTAACTACCCTCTCTTAATTCAGGAAACTACAAATTCTTATACACTTCAAGAAAATTAAACACAAGGAAATACACCACAAGGACCATAGTGTTACCCATACCCATCACCCTCTGGGGAAAATAAAATATTCACAAATAGTAAACCTGAAGAAAAGAAGGATTATCCATATTATGATATCATCCAACATGATACTGACCTCCAACATGAAATTCATTCCTCCATCAACAAAATAGTAAGGAGAGTTTGTCAACAAGAAGAGTTTCTTCCCGTTCTCTTTAAGCATCCTAAGGAAGCGAAGTAGCTGTCCCTGGAGTAACACAAACCAACAACCTGGTCAACTGCTCGAAGTTTGAATTTAAGATTTATCCAAATGCTAATAAGAAACATAACTAGCAAACAAGTTCGTACATTCTTTACTAAGTACTTCTTCGGATCAGACAGAATCCCCCGATGAGCTAAACCACTTCGATGCACGTACTGAATTGCTCGATTCACGTCTTGATAAACATAAGATGCATCAAATTCCAGTTTGGCATCAATAAAATGTTGAATAATATCCGCAATAAGGCACGCCTGCCAAATAATTAACATCAGAAAAAACTCAAACCACCTTGCTCATCAAAGAAACATCTAAATGAGGAGATATACCTACAGTTCCCATAAGTTTTCAGTGCCATTGGAATATTAAAACTGCCATTTAGCACGACAGATAAACTGGTGAAGAGTATACTTAAGTGTATATCGTAAACTTTAAAAACCATCCACTTTTTTCAATGGTGTCCTAATTTTTTTCATTATAGACCTACATTACAATTTTAACCATCAATTTTACTAAAATCGTATGAAGCCTATTCAAAGGTGTCCGAAAACATGCCAGAAATGTATTCTAAGAAAGAAAGTAGAATATTTAACTCTGACAACTTGCCGCGAATTTCATGACCAATATACTCAACAGAGTTTTAACCTAAACATTTAGCGCAAACATGCAAATAGGAATTGTGTACTTGGCAGCTATTGCAGCATCGGAAAACATAGAAAACCTCTTTACCAAGTTCACTAAAGAAGGTCGAGCCAATAATAATAATCCTGTATATGGTTGCTTATGAAATATGCGAGAACTTATTGTAGCATGTAATAATTCCCAAATGCGTAAGTTTAAGCAGCCCTTCATGATAAACTAGGCCACAATACTATAAAACATTTAAATAATAATGTAGAAACGTAACAGGAAAGATAAAACTGTAAGCGTAATGTTCTGAATTGAACAAACCTCGCTGAAGCAAAAGAAATCCATCAAACCCACTAGCCCTCGAGCTTGATCACGACCAATATGTCGTGTGCCATACAAGTCGTTGATTTCTGATCGACTGAGCTGCATTTTCATTAGTAATTATTAGTACTGGTAAACACCTTTAATGAGCACACTTACTATTGTGGCATTTAACTTCACCATTCAATGTGATATCTACGATTAACCACCGCACTGTGAAATTATGAGTTTTTACAGTCGAATTTTCCCAGTTTCTAGAATAATATGACAAGACATAAAAATTTTCGTTTAAGTTCTTTTTGTCTTTAATCATTATTATTGTTATAGACAGAACTTTTGGGGCAAGAAACTACATAAAACTGTTCACTCCGTCATATTATCTCGAGTAATCTTTCACCAATTCAAGCATATAGTATGCTATTAATTATATGTTAGTACTGGATATACCATTTTGCCCCTTCTTGTAGTATACTTAATGTATAGCTCTCTGAGAATATAATCATTCATTTACTAGTAAGTCTTATTTTTCCCGAACGTTGTAAAGCTATCATTCCTGAAAATCTTTGGCCGATAAAGAGAAAAGAAATATAAGAATCCACAGTAAAATATATAAAAATAAAAAGAGAACGTTGCATATACCTTTCGCCTTCCAAAATAGCATCCATCAGGCTCAATTGATCCAAAGAAATCCAGCTTCAATAGACATCCTTTTAATTTGTCATAATACAAACCTCTAATTGGAAATGAATTATCGTACTTAAATTCCAAGCAACTATCGGGATATCTAAGCTGAAAGGCCCACAAAAAGAAAAAAAAATAATGATAATAAAAAAGGTTATTTGAATCTATCAACACATTAAAATTTTCTCTACATAACATTGTTCACATACCTCATTAACCAAATACTCTTTGGCCAGATCATATATTAAGCTTTGCAAATCGGCAGAGTAGTGCGCCAATGTGTAGTCATAGTCAAATCCGTACACTTGTATATTGTCCAATCTCAAGTTCTTATTCACATATATGCCTATAACGAATAAATAAAATTTATCACCTATAGCTGGAATAGACTTTTAAAACAAAATGAAACATAGAGTGAATGATCTTCACCTTTAGGATCTATTTTGGGAATCCCGTGCAATGTGTCTGGTGTTTTGAGAAACCTCTCCTTCAAAAAATTAAACGCGTGCCGAATCTTGGCAATTTCATCCTCTACTTCGTGGTTTCCATCCTCTTCCAATTTCAGCGTTTTTTGTTCCGTAGTGATAACAGAGCTAAATTTACGTCTAATATTTTTCTCAATCCCTATGATTCCAAAAGTATATATACAAATAAAAAAAAAAGGGCAAAATCGAACACGCGTGAGCCCGCGAGCACGCACACGCATA